TCCTCCTGAGGCAACCCTACCAAAATAGGAATGGTGTTGCTCTATGGTTTTATAAAAAGAAAAAAAAAGCCTGGAAAAACTGGTTGGATCGGAAAATAAACCATTTGATATTGCCCGATGTAGTAAAAGAACCGTACTTGTAGGGTAATTCATGATCTGTGCGTATATTTTAAGGTGATTAGTAATAGCAGAATATGTACCATAGTTTTTATAATAAAACAGAAATTGTATCAACATTTTTTATACCTAAATATATATTTAAGTACATTTTTTTTTGTTTAATTTCATGTATCGAGTAATAAAATGTACATAATATCTTGTATATAAAATCACACATCGCAAACATTAAAGTATCTTTCGATTATATTTTTAAAACAAGTTTCACATTAAAAGTGCGTAAGTACCCTTCATTTACGTAACACTTGTAGATATGTAAAATCACTAAAAAGCTGTGATCCGTTTAAGGTGGAAGCTCCAGGGTGGCCCGCGAATTTCAAATTTTCTTACGTTTTTTGCAATTTGCAGGTCGGTGTCAGGTTGTATGTTTAACAAAATATGATTTGCGAGCGTAACGAGTATGTATTTACAGAATTATAATCATCAATACAACCGTTCGCATAATTCCAATGTATGGCTCTTTCCAGAAAAACTCATTCAAAGGAATTATACGAACTTAGGGGGTTGTATCGATAATTATAATGATTATAATTTTGTAAATACATACTCGTTACGCTCACGAATCATATTTTGTCAAACATACAACCTGACACTGACCTGCAAATATCAAAAAACGTAAGAAAATTTGAATTTCGCGGGCCACCCTGGAGCTTTCATATTAATACAAACTTTTCTCTATTTTTAATGATAAACTTGTTTCTGGCAACTCAGTCTGACATTAGTATGAATCAGGGTTGCCAGATGTATGATTTAATTAGTACTCATACGGTCGTACTTTACAGTTTTCATGGATTTAAGATCTAAAGACAAAAATAGTATCTACGTAATTAGGATAAAAGAAGAGGAAGAACGAAGGAATAGTTAGTATTAAAGGATAAAGAGAGAGAGAGTGAGGGGGGGGGGGGGTCACAGAGATTTTATAAACGTTTTGAAAGAGATCGACCCAGATGACGTGTCTACATACGTCGCTAGGGACTTGCACAAGCTGCTTCCCCTCATGTTTGACCATATTGACAACAGGCCACTGAAAGATATCCCATCTTTGAAAGCTAGTCTGGCCGAGAGATCAGTTTAAGTTAGAATGGTCTTAGTATTCCATCATTGAGCTGCGTACTGATGTTCTGGATTAACGTAACACTATTGTGGTATGTAAGCTACAATGGCATTATTCTGACTTCACGGAACGGTCTATGGGTCGAAGGCCAGCTTCAAGTCAGCAAAATCGGACTCGTTTTCGCCGGCCGACATCACTGCAAGTAAACTAAAGACTCGCCCCACCGCTACTGAGACCACTGCTAGTGGAGCGTCGTCAAGTGTAAGTCTGTTTGAAGCACGTTGCCTACGAGGACATGTAAAAGACAGACTGACCTAAAGGGTTTCATTATTGTGGAGTAGAAGAAGAAGAAGCCTCTTCCCCGTAATCAGTGTGGTAGCGCATTGAAGGGACCGAATATACTGCTGCTTCCTGTTACGTCTATAAGTAGCTGTACGTGTCCCGATTGCATTATTCCACGAAGGCTTAGGAGATCGTCGAGTACATCAGAATTAAGACCAACATAACGTTGACGGTCGAAAGGTTGGAGTCGCACTACAATGTTAACGTTAAATCATATGTGATGCAGTCCCAATAAGTCAAATTTAAACCCTCATGAAGAAAGAATTATGGGTGTTGTGTGTCGACGTTTTTGCGGAAGGTTACGTGATAACAGTTGGTACCACGCAGCGAAACATGACGCCGACAATATGTGTACAATAGCGTCATTGAACATATACTTTTGGTTTAAAAATGTATTAGATTTAATGTTATGTGTGTTTTAGTACCTATATATAACTCATAATTGTATTTGTGTATGTGTATATATGGGCCTGTGTTTCTGACATAAATAAATAAATAAACAATTGAATTGTTAGGCATAACCGACTGTATTTTAGTCTTATTAAATAAAATTTGGATGTTTTGTCGATTTGGACAAATAATATTAATAGTAAAACACGTTACGGTGGAAAAGAGTAAAAATGTAATTTAATTTAATAATAAAATTAATTTAATTCAAACTTAGGTATTTTTTTTTAAACGTAGTACTTTTCTTACAGTAGCGTTATGCCTCCTCTACACTACTCGCTAGTAGAGATGGGTAACTCAGGAAAGATAGATACAAAAGATATGAATCAATCCGTTTCCATTAATCAATCTTTATATCCATCTGCATCCGAATGTATCACTGTATCAGTATATCTTTACAACTTATTCACTCAAGGCATCTTTTAACTTTTTATATCTAACATCTGTGTCGCACATTGCGCACACTGCTTTCTATTATACCTCGGCCGGCGTGGCTGGGCATTCCAGGAAGATTTCGAAGTCCATAGTACAGACGTTTCTTTCGCAGCTCACTATTTAGAATGTTCTGTCGCGCTTTGGCAAGACGGAGAGAGTGAGTTGTTTGACCATTAAAACTGTAATACGTTGGCACAAAAAGGTAAATTGATAACTCTATGACTGGCGCATAGTGCTTAAAGTCTTTAAGCGGTACGTTAACATTTAAGTATTATACTGGTTTAAACCGTACCTATGTGTACTTTGCCTATGCATTTTTTAGTAAACAATGCAAACTAATTTCGGTTATAAAACCATCGTTTTTAAGAAAGTTTTATAACCGAAATAGTAGTCGTTTATATCCATAAAAAAACGCGAGTCGGACTCGCGCACCCAGGGTTCCCAACAAATCCGTAGGTATGTTAGTTTAAAATTATTAAAAATACCCTACCTATGTTATTTACGTTAATCATTTATTTAATTATTATTTTAAACTAAAATTATAAGTAAATTTTTCGAGTAAGTGCCTATTAATATTTATCAATCATAACAATAATAGCGATCGCTGTAAGTTTCACAGTACGCGAGCAACCCGGGTTCGATCCCCGCCGGCACCAATGAAATTGTTGATTGCAATTTTAAGTGCTGATTTACCACGTGTTCGGCGATGAAGGAAAACATCGTGAGGAAACCGGCATGTCTGAGAAATAAAAAAACTTTAATTTTTTGATCATAACACTATTTGTTATGATTAAAAAATACCTAGAAAGAAACAGCAACCAAATATATCAGAAAGATGCACAATGTTACGACCAAGCAAAATGCAAACAGCTCTATAGGTCTTATATATAGGTCGATAGGTATCTATCACTCTTACTGATAGGATTGAGTTGAGCGAAGCGAGCCACGCTGAGTGAGCAACGAAATGTAATGCGATGCGTGTCGTGAACGCGAGCATGATCTACTGATACATAAGGATATAAAGATATAAAAGAGTGATACATATCCTAGTGATCAAAAGATACATATCAATCTTTTCTTTTAAGTGATACACATTGCCCATGTTTACTCGCTAGCGGTGAGTAGTAGCGGCTTTTGAAACAGTATTTTAATAGCGGCTCCAATAGTGTTTCATGACGTGTTTAATTGAAAAACGTGGCGAATGAAACGATGGCCGTTGGCGAGAAAGCTTGATTATCTTGTTTCGTGTTGGACTGTATAGTGACAAGTTAATATTCTCTTCATATCTTTCTACAAATACTATTATTGTTGCACAAAACAAAATCTACTATATTAGCAATCACGTCTAAAAAGTAACCGTGTCAACTATCAAACACGAAACGAATTTAGACCGGGTCATGGCCTCGCAAATTAAAGCAATTCATTAGAATTACACACATACGTCACATAAACATACATCAGCAATTCCAAAATATTTTTTATTTCAAAACATGCATACATTCATTCTCATTTCTAATATCACATTTATCTGAAGGTAATAGAGTAATAGGTCAAAGCAAAAGCAATGTATGTGTAGGCGGGTGTGAAAGAGACAAAACGTGTCACTTGCGCTCACTCGACATACAATGGCCGGTAGTACTTTAACAGCCGAAGCCATTGCCGATACGTCGCGAAAATAGCCTAATAAATTATTCGTTCTGATCGCTCTTTCGGGAAACGGGAATAGTATTACTGAGTAAAACATGTACTGTAATAGATAACTATCTATTACAGTACATGTTTTACTTTATTGCAGTCCAACGAAACTTTGTTGGACTGCAATAACCCGCTACCTGCTATTGTATGAATAGATAATTTGAATAACTGGTTACGTTTTGTAACGACCACTCCTACTACTCGCGAAGTAGATCTAAGTTGAACGAGGCGAATAGTGTAGAGAGGTACTTCGATTCGCTTCGTGCAACCTCGCTTCACTTCGGGCGACTTCCGATCGCTGTCGGTTTTTTGCGCCAGAGTCAAAAGAGCAAAAGACTTCGCGAAGTACCCCGAAGTTACACGTCTCACTACACTACGCAGCTTACGCCAGTTATGATTTTTTTATATATAAATATTAAATATGTACATAGCTTTCTACATAATTATTTATTTAGTTAACGCATTGACGTAGTATTGTTCACACAATTAGGTACCTATAGCAGCTGCCTCTTGAACGTTATTCATGTTAAGGGTGCGGGAGACTCAAGACGCCTGAGCTCTTCGCGAAGTAGCACGAGTGTATAGTCACGTTCCTCGGATTGCGATCGACTTCGACGAGCACTTCGTCAAAGTTACATCGCGAGTAGTGTAGAGGAGGCATTAGGCATAGACCCTACTAGTTAGGAATACCATTTTTAATTACCCTTTAATTCGTACGATTTGCTTGATCAAGCCGTCTGGCAACCCTGCTATGAGTGAACTTTTATCGATATAGCTACGTATTCGTGTAGAATTATTGTAATTATATGTAAGTAGTTTAAATTAAATCTGTGAGGCGTGAGGCTTAACTATGCCTCTTTTTGGTAAAAAGGATTTTGGTAGAAAATCTAAAAAAGATGCCCGGGATTCTGAAAAGCAACCATCCATCGAGGACAAATACATAGTTAAGGATCTATTGGGCACAGGTGCCTTTTCCGAGGTACGTTTAATAGAGAGCAAAGAAAATGGACAGATGTTTGCTTGCAAAATTATAGACAAGAAAGCTTTAAAAGGAAAAGAAGACTCCTTGGAGAATGAGATTCGAGTTCTGAAGAGATTTAGTGAGCAGGCGAAAGGCGAAGGCGGGGAGAAAAAGATGTTTTCTCATCCTAATATCGTCCAGTTGTTGGAGACATATGAAGATAAAAATAAAGTTTACCTTGTCATGGAGTTGGTAACAGGTGGTGAGTTGTTTGATAGAATTGTTGAGAAAGGATCTTATACGGAAAAAGATGCTTCTAATCTAATAAGACAGGTATTAGAAGCAGTTGATTACATGCATTCACAAGGAGTTGTGCACAGAGATTTGAAGCCTGAAAATCTTCTTTATTATAGTGCAGATGAGGAGAGCAAAATTATGATTAGTGATTTTGGTTTGTCTAAAATTGAAGATTCAGGAATTATGGCTACTGCTTGTGGAACACCTGGTTATGTTGCACCTGAAGTGTTGGCACAAAAACCGTATGGAAAAGCTGTTGATGTGTGGAGTATAGGGGTTATATCATATATTCTGCTCTGTGGTTACCCACCATTTTATGATGAAAATGATGCGAATTTATTTGCACAGATTCTAAAAGGTGATTTTGAATTTGATTCGCCTTATTGGGATGACATCAGTGAATCTGCTAAAGATTTCATACGACATTTGATGTGTGTGGATGTTGAGAAGAGATACACTTGCAAGTAAGTATGCTTTAAGATAATGATGTTCTCCTGATCATTCATTTATTCATTACAACTTATTGCCTTTACCCTTAATGGCCCTATAGCACAATGGTTGTGTTAGTCATGGCGGTAAAATTATAGACATCCGGTACTCGCGCACGGGGTGGGAGGGGGATGTGGGGGAAGGGGAGGTTCAGGGGAAGCCCTGGGTACCCTTCCCCCGTTGTGGAAATGTATAGTTTATGAGTAATATTTTTTTTTGTAAAATCATAACCTTACCTTTTTACTAGTGACCGACTGAAGATTCAGTTTCGGTTTTGGCAAGTTTCGGCAAAAAATCTAGTTTCGGTAATAGTTTCATTTTTGGCAAAAAATCTGCCGAATCTTCGGCAGCACCGAAACTCAGTGTTAGTGGATTATTGTGCTTCGTTCGGATGAGTTCGTGACTCGTGTATTATTCATAATTATACAGAACAAGAAACGTTTTATTCAATATAGATTAGAAATAATACTTATTGAAAGTTACTCTTTTGTTTAATTGGTGTAGCAAAGCGTGGACGAAGTGGGCCCTCGCCCACTGGGGCATCGCACTTAAAGGGGCCTCGCGAGGTACCTTTAAGTGCGATGCCCCCAGTGGGTGAGGGCCCACTTCGCCCACGTTTGCTACACCAATTTTGCCAATTTTGCCTGCGATTTACTACAGCGGGCGGGGGCTGCTCTCCATCCGCGCCTACGGCTTTACAAAAACACTCAAGGGGTAGGGCAGACAAGACTACGTGGAGTCGGGGCGTTCTGATTCGGTTTTAGTACAGATTCGACCTATCTTATCTATAAAGTCAGGTTGCCCTAAACTATGTTATGATAGTGATAAATGAAACAATGTAATCTGAATTGTTATAATTATTTTTTCTGAAAAACCTCTGACTGCTCTCCACTGCGACTCAATTCATTGTGTGTGAGTCCCATCTTCAGCCACAAATGGATTGTCTAGGTAAGAGTAATTAACTTTTTTATGGCTGACCCGTTTCGTTATATTATGCAATTTTTAGTTAGTGAAATTTGTTTTTATCGTAATTAATTCAAAACACATTTCCTTAATTCAAAAACAGTATAAAAGGTTCTAGCTTAATCCTGACAATCCTGCTAAACTGAAAACATAATAAAAATCAAGTACTCGATGTTACTTCATAATACTAGACCAAATTGACATACGAGTATTTGCGTTTTGTTAATGCAATATTTATTGAAATTTATTTTTATTATAATTAATCAAAACGTTTTTCCGACATCCAAATACAGTGTAAAAGATTCATACTTAACCCTGACAAGCCTCCTAAACTGAAAACATAATTACAATCAAGTACCGGACGCCTACTTCATAATACTAGACCAAATTGACTTATTTGCATTTCGTTAATACACAATTTTTAGTGCAATTTATTTTTATCGTAATTAATTTAAAACGCATTTCCGACATCCAAAAACAGTGTAAAAGGTTCAAGCTTAACCTTAATAAGCCTCCTAAACTGAAAACATAATTAAAATCAAGTACCGGACGTCTATAGCCAACCCGTCATGGCTCTATTAGAGCCAAGTGTTCATATCCCATATGGCCCAATTTTGTATGGCCTACAAATCAGTGCATCCAGTCTGAATGTGTGTTCTTGTGTAATTTATGTATGTAAACTGCCTTCATAGTTTAAGGGAATATCTTACTGTTGGGATATGATTTAATAAAAAAAGGAAAAAGAAGCCTATTGAAAGTCCACTGCTGTATATTGCCTCCCATATATATATTGCCTTATAAGGGGGATATTTGCCATAGCTGCCATGCTTGAGAGACAGGTTGGCAACCATAGCTTTTTCTTTCTTCTTCTACTTGTTATCAGGTAGATGTTGCTGCCCATCTCCTGTTACATTTCTCTGTCACCTCATACAACATCTATAGGATGGTCTAGTAGATTTTTTTATGCCACCACTATAAGGATGATCCAATCCCTTCTTTTAGATACTTCCTTTTTTTATAGGATAAGATTGGCATGACAAGCGAGCCCACAGTGCACCTGATGGTAAGTTGTTGTTGGGCATCTGCATTTTGATTCACAACCAAGGATAGATGTAGATGTCTATGATCTACATCTATCCTTGTTTGCGAATCAAAATGCATATGCGTTGTCAGCTGTGAGGACTAAGATGGAATAGTTCTTTTCCAGTAAAAGGGGCTTTGGTTCTCTACACTCACCATACAAAACACAGCAGCATTAAGCTGATATTCTGTGAGAGGATGGTCCTTCCCCGGTCGAACCGACTCATTCATCTTAGAACTAAATGTATCTGCAGCATGGCTCTACCACGTTTGAATCCTGTATGTCATTTGCAGTGTATCTGTTATGTGTTCATGTTGTTATTATTACTGTAAATAATTTATCCAACTTTTTTTGAGTGTGTGTGAGTGAGCAGTCACATCTAATACTAATAATAACTTTAAGTTTGAAAAATAAATCCTAGGAATTGGTTTACAGTAGCAGTTTTGCATTCACAATTTATTAGTTTCATACTTCATATCTTACGCCATTATAATGCTGATGTAACTACTTCAAAACGTCATTAAGTTAAAAATTATAGGTTCTTTTTGTTTAAAATACTGAATGGAAAAGAGTTTAAAGCATGCAACACCTTCTGCAGAACTTTTATAAAAGATATTTAATTTAAATTAATTAGGTAGTATTGTTTATAATTATATTACTATAGGAAGAAAAAAACTATCTGCAAAGGTATGTGTATCTATAATTTTCTATAAAGAAAGTTCATTAAAGTGGACTTCTTATTAGCTGATAATAAGGGAGTTTGAATAAACTTCCTCTCATTATTGATAGGATATTTGCTATAGATTATTTACAATAATGCCTTAACAATGATTATGATTGATGAAGAATTAGGTTATAGAGATAATTTTAATCATACTTTGATTTTGAACCTGAATAAAAGAATTGCTATCTATGGCACATTTGTCATAAGTTTGTCTTCTATAACTTAGACCATGAAACTACCACTAGTTTGTTCCATACCCCAAAAGGAAAAAATGAACTCTTACAGGATCACTATGTTGTTTGTCTGTAGGTCTGTCAGTCTGTCAAAATCCTTTTACTCAGGAATGGCCATAGATATCAAGTTGAAATTAATTTTGAACGCTAAGTTATGATACTATAGAGTAATAAGGTATGGTTTTTAGTCAACACTATTAAAAGATATGGCCATTATTGTCACAAATTTTGATACTTATTTAGAAGTGGTGGTATACTCCATGTCGTTCCATGGGTGTTATAACAGGCGACAGAGGAAAACTGAAACAAGAGATGGGTAGCAGCATCTTCATGATAATAAGTAAAAATCATAATAATTGCATACATACCCTTTGGTACATACATACCCTTCGGCAAATTGTACAGAAGTCCGAGGAGTACAATTTGCCACTATGTCTGGCGTATGTGGACTATGAGAAAGCCTTTGATTCCGTCGAAATTTGGGCGGTGCTTGGGTGGTCCCCTCAGCGGTGCTAAGTTGACTGTTGGTATATCGAAGTGCTAAAGTGCTTGTACAGTAGGGCTACGATGGCTATCCGAGTACAGAACCAGAGTATGTAACCTATCCAATTGCAGAGAGATGTAAGACAGGGTGACGTTATATCCCCGAAACTCTTCACCACTGCATTGGAAGACGTTTTCAAGCTTATGGACTGGAAAGGATACGGTATTAACATCAATGGCGAGTACATCACTCACCTTCGATTTGCCGACAATATAGTCCTTATGGCAGAATCGCTGGAGGACCTAAGCACTATGCTCAATGACCTCAATAGTGTTTCCCAACAGATAGGTCTTAAGATGTACATGGACAAAACAAAGATCATGTTTAATGTCCATGTCACACCTATGCCAATAGTTGTTGGGAGCACTAAGCTCGAAGTTCTTGATGAGTATGTTTACCTGGGACAAATAGTCCAAATAGGTAAGTCCAACTTCGACTGAGAGGTCAATCAACGGATTCAACTCGGTTGGGCATCGTTCGGAAAACTACGGCACATCTTCTCGTCAGGTATAGCTCAAAACATGAAAATGAGCCTGTACAACCAGTGTGTGTTGCCAGTGATGACCTAAGGAACTGAGACGTGGTCCTTCACTGCTAGCCGTATGAGGAAGCTCAAGGTCGCTCAGCAAGCTATGGAGAGGGCTATGCTCGTTTATATTTCGTAGTTTCTCTGCGTGATAAACTTAGAAATGAGGATATCCGCAGTAGAACTAGAGTGACCGACATAGCCCAACGGATTAGTAAGCTGAAGTGGCGATGGGCCGGCCATATAGCTCGAAGAACCGACAACCGATGTGGAAAAAGGTTCTCGAGTGGCGGCCTCGTACCGGCGGACGAAGTGTAGGGCGTCCCCCCACTAGATGCAGTGACGACCTGGTAATATATGCAGGAAGTCGATGGATGCAGGTGGCTCAGGAGCGTGCTTGGTGGGTGGCATTCCTTGGGGGAGGCCTATGTTCAGCAGTGGACTTGTAAAGGGCTGTAATGATGATGATGATAAAAATTTGCAGTTGCCAACCTGCCTGCCCAGAGGGGTATATGTATTAGGCAATTTATGTGGGAAGCCTATGTTCAGTAGAGAACTTTTGATGGTTGTGATGGTATGGTGTGGTATTTTGATACTCGTAAACTCACTAATCGAAACCGAAAGACCGTTTCCGTTGCCCTAGAATCATAAAATATGCAAGGTCTCATCACGATTGGGTAAAGCAAAAAGTCCAAAAACTCTTAACTTGTAGTACAAAGAAATCTTATTTGCAATTACAAATTTATATTTGTAGTTGAACCAACCATGATGTAGGCCAATATATGTAAGAACATTTTTTAATTACATAGTTAAGTTTGTCCTTCAAATACGACTTGGCGTTTTGTTAGAGTAATGTTCACTCCTTACCTTACCTATATTTATGTAAGATAGTAATTAGTAAGTTAATTATTTTCGTGAATATGAATAGTTATCTAACTTTTTATACTGTTATATGTACCTATTGTATGTAAATGAATGTTATCTTTGTTAATTTATGGTATGTAAAGCAGACAAAAATTATAGATTCGCAATGCTCCCAATAGATTAACTAGTCTACATACATAAATAGGTTCATTTGAAATACTCGGAGTGTGAGTCCAACCTGCTATTGCCCGGTTTTTTGGCATATCTAAATATCAAAATACTAAGTTTTACCTGTAAATAATAGCTTTTTTAAAATACTATAATATCATTATAACAATTGTAAATACTTTAATGTCTAAATAATTTAATGCTAAGCAGAGGGTTGTTAAATTTTTTATGGATTGCAGTTTCTTTAACTTTTTTTTTGAAATGGTAGTAGATTTAAAAAAAAAACTTGACAAACATAAATTAAAAATCCTCTGTTGAAAAATAAACTTTTGATTTTTAATTTAATTATATAAATAAACAGGAATGACATAATATCTCATTGTTAGGTCTATTAGTACATATTAGCATTAGCACTAGTCGCAATTCAACTTGGCTAATGATATGATTGCAATTTATTTACTAGCAATCCGACCTGCTTCATATGGGTGATTTCTGGATCTCAACAACAGCTTGCCCAAGAAAAACTAAACCACCCGGGGACACAAAACATGCACAAAAATTTTCATCAGATTTGGTCGAGCCAGTTTTGAGTTTTAGAGAGACTAACAGACAGCAGTTGATTTTTATATATAGAGATTTGTTTAACTATATTATGTAAATAAAGTAGCAAGGGGCTAAGTAGGCTTATGGTAATTATACCAATACAATGTTAACAAAACTATATTCATAATAATTTACTATTAAGGAAATTATTATGAACTTGCACTTTTTAATACCAGACTTTTAGATTGGTTCTTTGTTTCAAATAATAATTTACTTTATATCTATAGACCTGAGGATTGTTTACTTTCTAGTTTGTAATGGGATTAGGTTTTAAATAAATCTAATATATTGTTATACTGTATGTACATTACCTTGACTTTGAAGCTTTGTTAGTGTGTAAAGATGTACCATTATATTAAATATAATCAAAACTAATATTAGATACAACACACCATATTCATATTTTACAAATAATCACAAATAATGACTTATCTAGTTGTGGCATTAAACAGATGCAAGAAAAATACAATCTTGGTTAAGAATGTTTAAAAACATAAAGATTAGTCTCACTTTCATTATGAAAGTGAGACTAATCTTTATTTAAGCAGAAGAGAGGAATGGTTTTGAAGTATTGCAACATAGAGGAAGGCTTCTTATTTTGAGAATTTAGACATTTATGTCTCTTGGGTGGCAGCAACCCCATGCCATGCCACTGTATTTTTTTCTGCTTAGTGTGCTGCCAGCTCAAGCTTAGCTTTTGGGAGTTCATTAATTGAATATTTTCCAGATAGAAAGGAATTTATAAATTTTTCTGGGGTCAAAATATCAGTTTTGTGCATCATTTACCACTATAAGCACCGCTACAGACAGTTTGGCGAGAAGTGAGAAATATTAAGAAAATATCTAGCAATAGCAACTTTAGCTCAAGTATTGCAATCTATGTGACGAGCATAAGCAAGCCCGTCACACCATATTATTAATGGAGATACTACTTTTTTTCAGACAAGCTTTGGCTCATCCATGGATTTCGGGTAATGCTGCTAGTAACAAAAACATTCATGGTACAGTATCTGAGCAGCTTAAGAAGAACTTTGCCAAGTCACGTTGGAAACAAGCGTACCATGCAACAACCGTTATTCGACAAATGCAGAAAATGATTCTCAGTAGCAGCAGCACAAGCCGCAATTCCAATCCTCAGCCTAAACAATAACTGAAAGCACCACCATGACAAGGATAACCAGAAAAAAACACATCAATGAAATCAGCTTAGTAAAGTACTTAATGGTATATTTATTTCTTATACATTATGATACAGTTTCATTATAGCTTTTAGAAGCATGTGCCATTTGCAACACTCTTAATTGGAAGATGTGTCACATTAATTGAAATTCATTGCTGAAATGATCGCCGGGAAGATTTAAATTTGTGTCATTGGTATGTATCATTCTTACATTGTTACATTATTATACCAACGCCTCAAATGTATATTATTTAAGCAAATGTAGGTAATGATGAAATTCAACGAAGTTTTTGTCACATAAGACTAGTCACATATTATCATTCACTTAGAATTCAATACACAATTTTGTAGAATATTTTAAGAATTCACTAAAAGAAATCTGAGAGATCAAACATCTTAAATGTATGTTTTATTAATATGTATTATGTATTAATAAAATAAATTTGGTTTCGAAAATTCTTCATACCATAGAACTTCACACTATTCTTCACTTACTTTATATATTTCATTATGAATGGGCAAATTAATGCTCATTATTTATATCTATTTTTGGAATCTCACTGTTATATCTATATCATAAACTGGGGACATAATATACATGACATTATGTAGATGTATTGTTATTATTATTATCTATAATAGTATAGTATATAATCCATAAACTAATTATAACAGCCCATAACACTATCTTAATTACATTAATGTAAGGTATTTGTTTGTCGAATTTTTGTTTATAATTTATGTACTCATGCGATTTGCAAAATATGTAATGATTTAAAAAAAGCAAATTATGGACAATTTAAGACAATTATAAAAGGAATTGTGGCTGTTACGAAATCTTGATGACTTTACATTTTTAAAAGCTTGTTCGGAATGTGATTGCTTATAGACATAAATTAAAAAGTGATAAGTGTTTTAAAGGTGAGTAAAAATATATTTTAATGAAAGTATGTAGTTATTACATTGTTATTCCAAACAAATTATTACCTCTTACTAAGATTGCTTATCTTTTAACAGGTTAAAACTCAAAAAGGGCTTGCATTGTTATTTAATGTGATTAGAATTGAAAAATAATTAGTATCATTTTATGTCTGTTAAGATTGTGTATGTTGTATACTATTATATTTATCCAATATAATCTTTAATATAATATATTAATAAGAGTTAAAAACTTTATGCAACATCAATCATGGCTATATTTAACCTTAGATTAAAACAATAAACATATATTATTATAGGCTAAGAAGAATATATAATCTTAATACTGATTCCTTCCTAACTTTTAGCGAAAAGTCTATTTCAATTTAATTAGTCAACATTATCACATAAATATCACGTACAGTGAAATCATATACTATAAATATTCCATAGTATATATAATCTACATCTAAAAACAGTTCCAAAGCACATATTATTTATCTCTTCTATGGGTCTATCAAATATTAATAATTTTCATAGCAATGTCGGGTGTGTTTAAATGGAAATATGTTATTACAGTTTACAGCGCTGCGTAAATTTCAATTAACGCGGAAAGCATAATCAACTACTTGACACGTATTCACGCACACATCTTTCTTACTTTTTTCCTTATCACTCCATAAAAGTCCACTCTTGGACGCAACATATGCACCTAAAGCCATGCTGGTTGCAAATAATTTAGATGCATATATGTGCGTGAGTGCTTATTCTTACAGGTCCTTTAAGAACACGCCTAACAGCCCGTAAAAGTCCACTGTTGGACGCGACATATGCACCATATACTTACCATGATGTTTGTTGCAAATTATTTTAGATTCATCATATGTGTGCGTGTTCCTACAATAAGTTGAGCATTACTTTACTTTGTGTCGGCGTTACTTACGCCGTACTGTTCGCAGGGATCCGTCAGTGTTGCTAACTTGGTCTGAGATAACAATCTGTAAAACAACAGATTAGGTTAAGTATGAAAAAATGAAAGGAAATCTTTATAGTCTAGTATTTTACTCATAAAATTGAATTATAATGTATGTTATCAAAGCCTGCTCCAGGTTTGAGCTGAGTAGGTAAAAATTTAAAATAAAAAAACTTGTGTCCGCTAATTGTCGTTAATATTTCTTTTCAATTATTATTTGATAGGGTTTATTTAATTTACTTTGGAAAGGTGACGTTTAATTAACATCGCAGTATGTGTGGATAGACAGTACTTTTGTTTAGTTGGTTTAAAGGAATATCTTTGATCTGTTTAAATCTTCATGTGGTATTTATGACCTGCCTATACTTATCTTTATTTCAGTTTTGTTAAAGTCGAAGTCCTTAGAATTGATTACATACATTCCATATTCTGCTTTCTTTAATGTTTTTCGAAAAAGGCCTTTTTATCAGTATTTTTTATGTATCTCCAATTTCACTTAAATATTTAGATTGTGATAACTACTTTCATACATTCCATTTTTAAATCTTATGGGAACAAGCTTAACTTTTTGAACGTTTGAAGAGGCAGAATTTCTTAACATGATTGTAATTATTGCACAATACCTTACTTTAAAGATTATACATCAAGCCTTCAAAAGAGTTGCATAAGTTGACTAGCTTAATGTTCCTTTAATTACAGAGTAAATATAAGAATTATAAACAATGTGTTTTACAAAAACTGATTATTTCACAACTTTTAACAGACAGGGACAATGCTCTATAAAGCAGAAGCTAACCGATAGTATTTTTATAAAGCTTGATATGTAATATTTATGTCCAGGTATTATACTGTAACGCATTTTAAGCACCTATTTTTTTCGGCACAGAATGCATTTATTTTTTTGTTTACAGTATGTCGATAACATGATTTGTTTGTTGGTGAATAAATTGAAACATTCCACTCGGTGAAATTGAGATCATTGGTATCCTTTTAAACTGCGAATATACTCGAAATAAAAACTTTGTTAGGACTAACATAACACAAATCTAAAGCTTTATCTGTTTCCCTGTTCGCTAAATAGACACAAACTAACAAACTAGCACGGAGGGTAGAACATTAACTTTTCATCATTACAGCCCTTCACAAGTCCACTGCTGAACATAGGCCTCCCCCAAAGAATGCCACAAAGCACGGTCCTGAGCCACCTGCATCCATCGACTTCCTGCATATCTTACCAGGTCGTCACTCCATCTAGTGGGGGGACGCCCTACACTTCGCCTGCCGGTACGAGGCTGCCACTCGAGAACCTTTCTTCCCCATCGTTTGTCGGTTCTTCGAGCTATATGGCCGGCCCATTGCCACTTCAGCTTACTAATTCGTTGGGCTATGTCGGTCACTCTGGTTCTACTGCGGATATCCTCATTTCTGAGTTTATCACGCAGAGAAACTCCGAGCATAGCCCTCTCCATAGCATATTTTTATTTACCTCATTTAAATTTGGATTTGTATTAGCTCTTCACTTAAATATGTAACGTTATAGTGAGGTTGTAAGTCTAAACCTTTGCTTTATTTAAGATGTTATTTGTAATCAAAATGTTCATAATATGATTCACGAGGCAGGGAAATTATTGCATGTAAGAAATACTAAGTCATATTAGTCATTTCAAGTGACCATTATTGCAAATAAGCACGAAAAATAATAATTACAAAATAAATAAAAAAGTAATAAATTAGAACCCTCAAAATATTGTGAACAAGATTTATCGGTCAGGGACAATGCTTAGGGCAAAGGCAATTTCAAGGTCGGGCGTACGTATTTGTAACAAACATAAAGATTACGTCTTTGTGCCTGCCTACGAGCAATATTTGCTGTGGATCGCGACGTCTTGGTACTTTCCTTATTTATTAATTTTTTTCTACGTCATTACTAAATTAATTTACTTTAAAATATTCAAATGTGTAAACATGTTCCATGAACGTCAATGACTTCCATTTCATCGTGTATTTACATTTCACACAAAAAGATTTGTGTGAATTATTCACAAAAATCCTTTTGAGCCCCTCACAATCAAAGTACCATGGTACTGTTGTGTGGTTGGCTTTTGAAAGGGAGCGCGTATGCGTGTTTTGTTCATGGCACTGCTAGACGGCGGTAGCAAGACACGTGTCATTCATTTCTAGTAACTCGATCACTCAAGTATTGATTCGTCTGACGAACCGGATCATTCGGCCCGATCATTCAAATGGATAATATCGGTCGTCGCACATTACTATACTCTTTGGTCGTAGGTCTGTCAATTGTTTGATTCAGAACGTTCAAAATGCTATTGCTAATTGCAATCGTTAATACTTTGCTGCGACTTGTGGGTCAAATGAACGAATCATTCACGATTGACACATGTCTAGGCGGTACCCTCCCCGAACCACTTCCGCGTTCCTCTGACACCTACTATATGCGTACTGCGCAGCGTCTCGTGCTCCCCCCTTCCCTCAAAAAGGTTGGAGTGAACAATACTTGTATTTTGAAATTACTATTGGAAATAAAATTATTTCAGTCCTTTCCGTAAGCCATTCGTGTTTGCCATATTTGAAAGTTAGAATTTTTACTTTTTCGTGGTGAAGCAGAACTTAGTGGTTTTCTTGCATGAAAACATGATTCGTTTTCTAATTACTATTATTAAAAATATTATCTTTAAAATAATTATAATATTAGCCATATGTTATGGGTAATTTCCTTATTTATAATTTGTTACGAAAATAGTGTTTTTCATGAACATTTATTTCTTTTATAATTTTTGCTGAAATAAGATGTTAAAAATGATGCCGAGTTGCTGGAATTCCTTGCCATGTCACATTGTGAAAAATATTATAGGTATTTGTTTACGTAAACACTTGATCACACCCAAAGATATTTTGTTCTAGTCTTTCATCCCCTTTTTAAATAAACGGTTACTTGCCATAAAATTTTCATCAAAATGAATTAAAAGTATAATGAATTTATTCTTGTTAAGTTTTTAGTTTTTGGTACACCATTACTGTGGTAATAGTATAAAATTTCTCAATTTGTACTAAGTAACAG